ACCAAGTCCCTACTCCGGCACACACGGCACATGTAATAACTAATTCAGCCGGGGATAAAGATGTGATAACACACCACTTTCCGACCGCCTGCCGACGCTTTACAGTCCAAACCGAAAATCGATTGGCCACTTTGTTATGGTAAACAACTCCCGTTTGTATGCACTGAGGACCAACGCGAAACTGCAAATGATTCACCACATGACTCAAGTCACATTCTAAGTTTGCCCGTCGAATAAGCGTAGTTGGCACGAAGATAAATATTATGCCCATAAGAAAAAACGAACCGTCATTATTAATGTTCTGTCAAACAATACATTATCACCAAGCCCGATCGGTTTCCGCGTTGAGAGCGATTTCTAACTCGCCCGTTCCAGAATTCCTCATTTTACGAGGCATGGTGCTTAAGCTATCTTGAAACAGTGCTGAGCACATTTTTGAATGAAACTATGTCAAATCTTGCCTCTACCCGTTAAACTATATCATTTGGAATTCTGCCAGGTTTTTATTCCCCGCTGCCTTGAGGGATGGAAACTTTAACATTGTAACTCATGTATGTGATCGTTCATTTCCCTTTGTTTCCATTTTTCTTTACCTCCTGCTCACAGAAACACAAGCGGAGTTTATGCGCACTGCTCATCACATTTATCTGATGAATGACGGACGGATCAACATGTGCGGTCTCACCACACACAATATTGATTATATTGCTCACGCAATCGACGATACACTGAGAAAAATTCCACATTAGATCTTAGCCCGAACTGTTCCATCTCATTCGTACCTCAATTCTTTCGTCCCTCTCTATTTTTCGTCTTTCTTTTCCCCTTTTTGCTACACTAATATTGTTCACAATAAATTTTACATTGTTCCTGCCCGGATCAATTCAATCCACATTTTAGGTTAAAGTTCAGTCTCCTCCGATCTTTTTAGGTATCTGGTTAATGCATGTGATCCTCATCGCTAGGTTTAATACTCTCATTGGCACATAATATTCCTGACTGATTTAATGACCTCACGTGCTACCGCATGCAGCCATCCCATCCCGTGCATTCCTTTGATTTCATGCTCATTTTCACTCAGGGACTTCGTATTTTGCACCGTGCATGTAATCAGTCAAAAATTTTCACCCCATCCCTTCCCCGTCTTATGCATAGTGTCATTTATTTGTGATCAGATGCATACAACGAGAACAACTTGATATCTTGTCATATGAAAAAACCCGACACACAACCCATCCCGTGCAATACGTCTGTGCTCTCGTCTTGCATTGCATCCTATTCTACGCGTATGCTCGACTCTGCGCACCTGTTCTGTTCGGACGTACCAAAAGCGGAGTAATGGAACCTCGATGCGAAACCCAGAATTGAAACATGCCCTGCTCAACTAGATTTCCAAGCTATTGGTCCATCAGGCTAGTAGTAGTAATAGCAATGACAGTATGAGATTCGGTTACGGTTCATTGTTCAAACTTATCGTGACATGTTGCGCTGGAACGCCTGAATACTACCTCGTAGTTAGTTCATCAGAAGATTTTCGGTAGATGTTATATTTGCAAGGAGAGATTCACAATCACTCCAAGTTCCCCGGGTTTGCTTACCGTTGGATGTAATATCAAGGGAGTTTTTCGCCTCCGTGCATACAGCAAATAGTTTGGGCTTATGTTAATGTGATAGCAATAAATTTAATTATCTCCCCGTCCTGATGCCTTGTCTGCTCTTTTGAGGCCTTGTGTAGTGCTACATTACTAAAAGTCTCGGTACCTAGTTTTTTTGGCCAGTAGGTTAACGACAGGCCTCTTTGACAATGTCCATATTTTACGCTTTCTGCTGCACAAGTTCATGTATGCCACCGAGAATCACCCAAGCACCAACTATTCTACATGCCTATTCGAACAGCCGAAGTCATAAAGTAGACTTGCTTGGTGTACATTTTGTACCTTCAAAGTTAAATGCTATTTTGAGATGGAATCACCCATGTGTTCCGTAGGACAATTGGGTTAATCAAGGTCAAATTCATATTTGGGATAGTAAGAAATTGAAGTTGGACACTGACGCTTATAACTAATTTTCACAGTCATGTTTTGTATATACCACTAATAAGAGCCTCCTTGGAAAGGGGGTAGTGATTGAGAGTAAAACTGAACGATCCATCTCCTAGCGAAAAGCCTATGCAACACACTGAACCGAATAGGCCACATTAGGCTTCCTTATTAGATAAAATAGAACCTGTCCCATACATCTCGGGTGGCACCAGATCACTTGGCAAAACATTCTGCACATTCAGATACTTATATAAATTACCTTAGTTTGTCTGTTGAAGTTGCGTTCTGGACGATGACTAGAAGTGCGGTTAACGGGTTTTTGAACCCAATCGTTACATCCTAGCTTACCATCAGATACAGTATCAAAAGGTGCTCGAGCCGAACGTCTGGGCCCCAAAGTTCGATTCATGACACGGCACCTAGATTTGACTGTAGACGGCTTCGCTGTCGTCTGACTCAATAACACGCTTATCCTCTTTGGGCCCAACAAAGTTCTCTACTCGGGGCCTCACTGCTTAATTTGCCGATCACCAAAGCAAAAAGTAGGTCCATTTGACCATAAGATTCAGCCCTCGTACTGTTTGTCAGACGGAGGTTTGTTAGTTGTTAAAATTGACTACTCACAGCTACAACGGATCTTAATCAACGGAAAAATAACTCAAGGTGGAGTTCTTTCTAAGCAGACGACCTTATAGTATTTCGATTACCACAGGAGAGGGAGGTACCGGAGCATGCTGCATTTCGTTTTACTCTGCCCACACACGAAGAGTCCGCTCGAGGTCTACCGTCCACCAATTGATGCATGATGTAGCTTGTTATGAATTGCATTTGTGAAGTAATAGATTATTATTATTATTGAAAATTCCTGTTCTTGTATACGGGTTAAACCTTTCATCGATTTTCCGATTCAGTTCTGGAATGGTCAGGAAAATATTAAAAACTAATCTTCCAGTGCATGTGATCGTCACGTATCTTGAGAACGAGTGCTGATGTTTAAACGAATATTTCCACGGGATACCCTATTTTCTGCCCAGCTGCAATGGGAGCTCAGAATAACCATGATCAGGTTTAATGCATCCCCCAGCTAATCCGGCTTTAACAGCAGGCCTAAGTGAATTATGATGGTTGGAATAATCGAGTATATGTGTCGGTTATAACAACAACACAGAAATATTCATGTATTCACGACGAGACCGCATCTTGACGTGGTATGATGGCTTGCGTGCCTCCATGGCCCTACGAGCTATACAGGACGGCTGCTCAAAGACGCAGATCCAATCAGGCTTGAAAGGTCAATGGTTATAGGCCAGACGAGGATCAGTCTCACAAGGCCAGCTGCTTGGGCACCTGAATTCCTTCTTCTATCCACATCCGCCCCTGGAGAGGCCACTACAGCAAAAAAAACGGTGAAGGGGGGCGGGCAATTTACCGGACAAGAAACCC